ATAGGCCTGTTGTTTTATGTTGAGGCCACTTACCAGTACCTCTTCCTCCCATGAAATTTCCTCTGCTGTCTGTCCCTTGTGACCAGTCTGTGGATGCTCAACAGGTTCAACTTTCACCTGGTCTTCAACACTCTTGCTGGGTGATTTAGCGTTTTGATCTACATTACTGCTGCTGCTGGCAGTTAAACTGCAGCCAAAAAGCTCTATGAGCTTTTTACATTTTGACGCATCATTTTCGAGAGACTTGGCTTTCTTTTCTTTTAACTTTTCCCATCCTCCTTTCTCCTTACGTTTTCGGCTTGCCATCATTCCCGCAGCTGCAACTTATGATTCGCTCTTTTTTGTTGGCTTTTACTGATGGATTTCACCGGACAAATGATCGTATTAGCGCCATCTGCTGTTAGCTGATTTCCCATTTAAGAGGAAAGGCTGGATCAGACGGCCAGTCTGGACTTTTCCAGAACGCACAGATTGCCAGTCCGCCCATGTTGTGAGATTACATTGTTACCTAGTAGATATTTATCTGGGCCAGTACATGTTTTACTGAATTAGCCCAGTTAACTAGTGGCAGGAACTAGGCCTGTTTGTAGTTCCTGGGAGATCCAGGTCCATTTTTCAGTACCTACTCCAGAGTAAGTACTTTTTGTTTGACCAGGAACTACTGGGGTGGGGCTTATACTGATCCATTTTACTGATTGGTTGACCACAAGCACCACAACACTAATTTGAAAGTTACACAGAGGTGCAGGGATAAAAAATAGAAGTAGTATGTGTTAGGTTAGTTTATTTACAATTTTGGGAAGTTAAGAAATGCAATACACTTCTCCTGTCTTAGGTTAGAAACAATGACTTAGGAACTGTTCATCTGTAATGGTTTTTTTCCTAAATTGGGTCCTAAACTTCAGCAAGTTACCATGGTTACCTAACAGTTAGTAGTGAGGCAGACTAACTTTTTCGACTAGTAGCTCCTTACTGAAAAATTTAGAATGCACCACTTAAATCAACATGCAATGCAACACATCTTAACTGTATTACTGATAAATGCTTTGGAAATAAATATGCAGTTTACAGGAATAACAATGTGATGTTTTATTTTAAAGGAAAAAAATTACAATGTAAAGTTTTGCTCAAGAGAAAATCATTAAGTTACATGCTACTATCTAAAAGATAAACAGCAAATAATATATTTCTATTTACAGTTGTGGATGCATCTGGTAGCGAAGGGAGAGCCAGATGCTGCAAAGAACAGCACTGCATAGGAACCTGGAATGTAAGATCTATGAATCAGGGCAAATTGGATGTAGTCAAACGTGAGATGGCAAGATTAAGCATCGACATCTTAGGAATGGACAGGATAGGATGGATTTAACTCAGATGACCACTGCATCTACTACTGTGGGCAGGAGACCCTGACAAGAAGAAATGAAGTAGCGGTGATACTCAAGCCAACAGTAAGAAAAGAAGTACTGGGGTACAATCTCAAAAATGACAGAATGATCTCTGTTCAAATACAAGGCAAATGATTCAATATCACAATAATCCAAGTCTATGTCCCAACCACTGATGCTGAAGAGACTGAAACTGAAAAATATTATGAAGACCTAAAAGATGTTCTAGAACTAACACCAAAAAAAAAAAGATATCACTTTGATCACAGGTGATTAGAGTGCTAAAGTAGGAAATCAAAAGATAACTGGAATAACTGGCAAATATGGCCTTGGAGAAAAAAATGAAGCGGGACACAGACTAATAGTGTTTTGTTAAGAAAACTCACTAGTCATAACAAACACTCTTTTCCAGCAGCCCAAAAGGCTGGACATCACCCGACAGCCAATATCATAATCAGATGGACTATATACTCTGCAGCCAAAGATAGAGAAGCTTCCAACAGTCAGTCAAAACAAGACCTGGAGCTGATTGTGGATCAGATCATGAACTTCTTGTTGCAAAATTTAAACTTAAACTGAAAAAAGTACGGAAAGTCTCCATACCATACAGATATGATCTAAATAGTATTCCTTTATGAATACACAGTGGAAGTGACAAACAAATTCAAGGGATTTGATCTGATAGAGTACCTGAAGAACTATGGACAGAGGTTAATAACATTGTACAAGAGGCAGAAACAAAATACATTCCCAAGAAAGAGAAAAATAAGAAAGCAAAATGTCTGTCGGTGGAGGCTTTACAAATAGCTGGGGAAAGAAGAAATTGCAAGGGTGATATGGGACAATATACCAAACTGAATGCAGATTTTCAGAGAAGAGCAAGGAAAGACAAGGAGGAGTTCTTAAATGATCAATGGAAAGAAATAGAAGACAATAAAATGGGAAAAACAAGCGATCTCTTCAAGAAAATCAGTTATCAAAGGAACCTTCCGGGCCAAAATGAGCATGATAAAGGACAAAAACGGTAAGGACCTAACAGAATCATAAGGTATTAAGAAGAGGTGGCAAGAATATACAAAAGAATTATACAAGAAATATCAACATTTCCAATAGCAACAATGGTGGAGACACTGACTTAGAGCCATACTTCTAGGAGAATGAAGTCAAGAAGGCCTTAGAAAGCATTGATATCAACAAGGCTAGCGGAGCTGATGGAATCCCAGTTGAACTACTCAAAATCCGAAAAGATAATGCTGTTAAAGTACTCCACTCAATATGTCAGCAAGTATGGAAAGCTCAACAGTGGCCACTAGATTGGAAAAGTCTAGGCCATTTATATTCCAATTCTAAAGAAGGGGAGTGTTAAAGAATGTTCAAACTACCAAACTACTGCACTCATATCACATGCTAGCAAGGTTATGCTCAAAATTCTGCAAGCTAGGCTCCAGGAACATATAGACTGAGAAATGAAAGTGAATACTAAAGTTCAAACAGAGACCTAATGAACGCCAGTGTGTCCAATCACAGCGGTCCAGGTTTTATATAAAGAGTAAGTCTAACCCACTTCTTTGCCGTTACAGGTATTCGGTTCTCCCGCCTCGTTCTGTTTCCTACTCTCTGGGCTCCATCATGTCCGGGTCGTGTCTGACTCCGACGCTCCGCCTCCTCTTGGGGATTTTGTCTATCCTTCACCCGTTTTCGGCGAAGGTTCTGGCGCTGTGCGTTCCATGCGGAGAGAGACGCGTCGTTCTCTGCTGTCTCCAGGCCGGAACATGCGATGGTGGTCTGATCGGCGACTCCGGGGTTTCGTGGAGAAGGGGGGTGTCTTTGTTGCTCCCAATTTCTCGTGCTCGGGAATCCCACAAGTTGCCCTACACCTCCCCAAAGTGCACGGATCGCCATCGACTATGCTTCCACCGGCCGCCTTTTCTCCGCCGGCGCCCTCTTCACCCGCTGGGCTGCCTGCATCTCAGGTTCCCCCCTCTCATCTGTCCTTCTGGCTCATCCGCCCTTTGGTGGACTTTTCATATCTCCCTCCGCCGCGATCCCTTCTTATGATCAATCTCGCATCCTCCAATCAACTTCTGGGCCAAATCCTGACTGAGGGCAGCCCATTCTGGCATAATCAATGCTTGGAGTTTGTCAGAATTTGTGGGTTTTTGTTTGTCCACCTGCCGTTTGACCACAAGTTCTCAATGGGATTAAGGTCTGGGGAGTTTCCTGGCCATGGACCCAAAATGTTGATGTTTTGTTCCCCAAGCCACTTACTCACTTTTGCCTTATGGCACGGTGCTCCATCATGCTGGAAAAGGCGTTGTTCATCACGAAACTGTTTCTGAATGGTTGGGAAAAGTTGCTCTCGGAGGATGTTTTGGTACCATTCTTTATTCCTGGCTGTATTCTTACACAAAATGGTGAGTGAGCCCACTCCATTGGCTGAGAAGCAACCCCACACATTAATGGTCTCAGGATGCTTTACTGTTTGCATAATACAGGACTAATGGTAGCGCTCACCTTTTCTTCTCTGGACAATCTTTTTTCTAGTTGCCCCAAACTAATGGAAAGGGGATTCATCAAAGAAAATGACTTTAGCCCAGGCCTCATTAGTCCAATCCCTGCACCTTTTAGAATATCAGTCTGTCCCTGATGTTTTCCTTGGAGAGAAAGTGGCTTTTTTGCTGCCCTTCTTCTTATTGCACTAATCACAATTAATCAACAGTAAATCAATAAAATCTTTATAAATTAAATGTGTAACCACAATGTCCCTATGTCGGCATATATGTATAGCGATAAGAATACAAAATTACCTTGACGTGAAAAAATTTAAACTACGTTTTTTACTTTACTTTGGGAAGAAGAAAAAAAAAGCGTAGTTTTGATTTTTTCCATATGTTGCCATGTATAAAGAGACCCAAAATGAACACTAAGTGGACTACTAGTATAAGCCTACTTTGCCTTGCAGTAATCCGTCTGCTTCTGGCTAGCTACCTGAAGCTAATGCTGCGTGCATATAAAACATGACTGGAAAAAGAAAGTCATTTTCTCTCAATGGCAAATATACTCATCAAATTATTACACTTATGATAAACTTCCAAAAACTAGCCACCGAGATGCAGCAATGAAATAACAATAAGCTATATTTTATGCACAATATTGTATTGAAGTGCCAAGCAGACTGAAGAATTGTGTCGGCGGCAAATGAAAACGGTGCTTTGTTTAGTGGGATTTTCTACTAAATACTTCCCCCTCTCAAAACTTTATTTTTACAAAGATTGCAAATCGCAGTGCTACTGTTGCTGTTAAAAGTGTAAAATACTTCCAAATCATCACTCTCTTGTCTGACGTCCTTATGCTCATCCTACTGTATGCGCATGACGTCACAGCAGGTAGAAGTCACTGCGCTCACAAGAAACAGGAACTCTCTTTTTACAAATTGAAAACTAAGTACGTACCGGACATGGGTCGGTCACATATGGCCGATACCAAATCCATCTAAAAAGGTATGGATCAGCGCTGATGCCGACCCGAATATTGGATCAGTGCACCTCTAAAAGTAATACTGTGTCTTTACCATGTTAATACTCTTGGACATAACCACTAGATACAAATACAGCAAAAGAAAAAAGGGGACATGTTTTATTCAAGGTGTTATTCATTTTTCAGTTTACAAAGAAAACATTTCTAGTATAAATGAAATAGCATAAATTAAATCAAATTACATTTTGTACAGTTTGCTCCAACAAAAGGTTAGCACCACCCATGCCACCCCAGAACAGGAAGGAAATGCAGGTCTAAGAGGATGTGAGAAATTCAGGGATATAGTATAAATGATTAACTCAATAAATGTAAATGCCTGACAGTATTTTCAATATTAGAGGGTGGGTGAAAATAAACACAGAGCGGTATGAGTAGAATGCATTTATATAATCCAAAGACATTTTCCTCAACCATTAACATATACACTCCCCCCATGATCCCTGTGCTGTACTGCTGCAAGTGGCAAGTCCAAAACCACACAGAAATCCAAAAATTAGAAATATCTGTCTACTTTATTAGGGTTGGTTTGAATTGTTAAAAAAAAAGAGACAAACATATCAAAAGTAAAATAAACAAGCTCTTGTACAAACTGGCAACTGCAGTTTACAGTAAAAGTAAGGATAGCTAACTGGACTTGTGTTGCAGAGGAAATCTCACATAAAGAAAAATTCCCTTCATAAAGGACATGTATTGTGCCCAATGGTGGGGAAAAAAAGCTTGATATCCATGGACCTAAATGGGTGAAGACTAGGATGAAACACTGTTCCTAATTTTGACAAGTGAATCAAAAATAGAAAATTATGATAAATGGTTAAACAACTTAGCTGAAAATTTGTGTATGCATGTAAAATATTTTGACCAAAATTAAAGAAAAGAAAAAGAAAACTGGAGCATTTAGATCTATGAGTCTATAACCAAACTAAGGTTTTAAAAATGAGAAATGCCCTTGCAAAGTAACCAAAGTAAAACTGATATTTCTGCATACTATTAAATCATTTTCCATCCTTGTACCTTATTGGCTAATATGGTCCACATTAATGGCTTCTTTAAAATGGTAACTTAAATGTTGAAGTAATGTATCGAATTAAGCAATTAATTTAATAGGGAGAAGTTAACTCCACTAAAATTATAATTAAAAGAAACTGCTGTTTTCAGGGCCGAAAAGGTGAACTGGGCAACACTGCTACCGACAATGTCCTCAAGGGTGGATGTAAAAACAGAAAATGTGTAAAACACAGGAAACTTATTTGTAATGGATAATGCAAGCTGTAAAAACAGATCAGTAATAAGGTATTAAGCTATGACTAACAATTATCCCAGGAAAGCAGAAATATACCTATAACATCATAAGTATTCTTCCCAGTCTGAGTGATATATGCTAATTCTGTGACCAACAACTGGATAAAAGACTTTTTTCTCTGTCCAATATTTCTGAAAAAGTCATACTTAAAAAAGAGAATTCCTGGATCTAATCAGTGCAGACATGTAGATTGGCATATACATTGAAAGTTCTACAAAAAGCCATTTCAAGGAATAGACAGAAACTATCTGTATAAATACTGTGTGCAATTAATCTAAGACAACCTTTAAACATGTGTAAAAGGTAATCTAGAATTTCTTATTTAACAGACTGCGCTTTACAACAGGACATCCCATTCTTCATTTGCACTGAGTCAAGCCAGCCAAACACATTTTTCCAGCCAGCAGGTAACACAGTCCAGTATTTTACATTTACCCATATAAACCTATGCATGCGTGCGCACACACACACACACACAATTCCACTTTTTAGTCCCTTTTAGATGTAGTTTATTAGCAAATTCATACTGCATTTTTATTGGAGCAAACATGTCCTTTAAATGTTTTCACCAGTATAGCCTTTGGAATGCTTCTTTTTTTTTTTTTTCTCAAACCAGAAAGCTTATTGAGTTTTAGGAGCTGGGTAACCCAATGTTAATTAGTACATAAGGCCTAATCATAAAATTTGTCACTATCTAAAAATAATTACATCAAGTGAGGTCTTTCAAGCTGCTTAATCAGCTTTAAATTCGAGTTGTACAATAACAATACACAATTTACAAGTGGCCTTTCCCAAATTACCACCTAAAAGGGAAATAAAGTGAAAAAGCACAACCCAGCACTTGTGAACATAAATATGTTTATCCACAGATGCTGGACAGGCATAGGAAAGTATAGGGTCAACATGTGCATGACATATGTAACTTCAACACCCATGAAGTCCTACTGATCTTGACTATATAAGAACGGCATAGATCACAATACCCATTTTTTCTGTCCACTATTTGCGCATTATGATATAAAAAAAAAAGGTAAACGCTGTATAAGCTTTGGCCAATGTCAACTCTGAACAACTGGCTGCAAGAAATCAGGAGCATTGAAAGCTGCCTCAATTCAGACTTTGAGGGGAAAACGAAACAGGAGAATTTGTGTAGCATGGCTGGATTCATGGACTGAAGGAACTCACTGCATAAGAAGATGGGGGAGAGAGGGAGAGACACAATGGAGCCCCATCCATTCCGAAGACCAGAACTGCTGTGTGATTCCAGTCGAGGTGCAGAAGGGTGCTTTTCAACTTCCTAGCCATCGTTGGACATAATCATCTTTTCAGTTTCTCTGCCAAACGTGAGCAGTTCATGATGGCCAATATATACGCATTAGTATACACCACACTCAAAGACACTGAAGGTTTTTTCTTCTTTCACAAATTCTTAGTATTTATGTGTGTTTTGTAATGCTTTGTGAGGTGGTCACTCCTCATGAAGCGCTTCTGACACTGTGTGCACTCAAAGCGCTTATCCCCTGCAGGCACAGAGAAAGACACATTATACTGTAAAACTGCAGCACAGTGAATGAAGGCAGTTACAAGCCATGGAAGATACTTTTATTGCTGTTAACACATTCACCTGTGTGGTGTGTTCAGTGATTATAGAGTGCATGTGTGTGTAAAGAGCATGCCTGGTCCCCATACCCACCTGTGTGCGTCCTGGCGTGCCGCTGGAGCTCATCGCTGCGTGTGAACCTCTTGCCGCAGAATACCCAGTTGCAGACGAAAGGCCGCTCACCAGTGTGCAGGCGCACATGCGCCCGCAGCAGCGAGGTCTTGCGGAAGGTCTTCTCACAGCCGGGTATGTGACAGATGTGCTTTCTCTTTCCCATCTCCCCAGGCCTGCCGGGGAAGCAAGATGTAGGCTCAGCATGGCACGCGGTGCCACGCCATGCCCGTGCAATTCCCCTTCATCAGAGCACGGCAGCGGCGATCACTTGCCTTTTCTCTGCATCCTTGCAGTTGGGGCAGGTGCATGCCATGCGACGCTTCTTCTCTCCGGGCTGTCCCTGAATCTCCAAAGCCAGGGCCTGCTCCACCTGCAGCTGGTGGCCAGGGGCCCCGCTCATGCTCCCCAGTTGCAGACCACTGCCCTGAACTGTCTGCACAGTGAGGTGCTGCTGACCTGGTGGGAACAAGTGCATTTTGTTTTCATGTGACTGAAGACACTTTCCAGTAATCCATCAGCAAGTCCTGTTTGTATGGATTGACTGTTTTCAAGCTGTTTTGACAGAATACTGAAACCCCCAATGAAGTACTTTGAGTGATTGGTCTCACAGCACATTAAATCCAGTCTCCCACCCACCTTTGACCCACATCAGTTTGCATACAGATCAAACAGGTCCACAGATGATGATGTCGTCACCACTCCACACATTGCACAGAACCACGTAAACCAAAGAGGGAGCTATAAGGACATAAGAAATTTACAAACGAGAGGAGGCCATTCGGCCCATCAAGCTCGTTTGGGGAGAACTCAACTAATAGCTCAGAGTTGTTAAAATCCTATTTAGCTCTGATTTAAAGGAACCCAGGGTTTTTGCTTGTGCTACAGTAAAAAGAAGACTATCCTATACTCTAACTACACACTGCGTAAAGCAGTGCTTTTCCAAAACCAGTTTAAAATGTTCTCCTGCTAATAGCCACCAATGACCATGAGTTCTTGTATTTTAACTAATATTGAAGTTACTATTTGGTTGAACAGTATCCAACCTTATATACCTGGATCACGTCCCCCCTTAGTCTCCTTTGCTCAGAGCTGAACAGACTCAGCTCAGCTAACCTCTCCTCATAAGACATTCCTATAAGACCAGGAATCATTCTTGTAGCCCTACGTTGAACCCTTTCCAAGGCAGCAATGTCCTTTTTAAGGTATGGTGACCAAACCTGCACACAATATTCTAGGTGGGGTCTTACCAAGGAATTATATAATCGTAGCATCACCTCCCTTGACTTAGACTCCACACACCTAGAGATGCAGCCCAACATCCTATTGGACTTTTTAATGGCTTCCCCACACTGGCGAGAGTGGGACATGGAAGCATCAACATACACACCAAGGTCTGTATATCCGTACTTTATATTTCTGCTCCCTGCATGGATTACCTTACATTTGTCTAAATAAAATTTAATCTGCCAGGTATCAGCCCAGTCATTAATTAAATCAAGATCCTGCTGTAGCCTCTGTGCTGCTAGTTTAGTATCTGCTACACCACCCACCTTGGTGTCGTCTGCAAATTTAACCAGCTTACTGTATAAATTGGTGCTGATATCGTTAATGCAAATTAGGAATAACAGTGGCCCTAAAACTGAACCCTGTGGTACCCCACTATGAACGCAGGCCCACTGTGACATTGAGCCCCTAATAACTACCCACTGCCTCCTGTCTGTTAACCAGTTTTCAATCCAAACTGCTACAGTTGTTACAATTCCTGCTGCTGTGAATTTAAGCAGGAGCCATTTGTGGGGGACAACATCAAAGGCCTTCTGAAAATCTAAGTAGATCACATTATATATAGGCCTGTTTGTGAATATGGGTGTTATATTAGCGTGCTTCCGATCAGAAGGTACCACACCAGCAAATAAGGATTTTTGAAATAGTAAACTAATAGGTCGACAAAAAATATCCCTCATCCCTTTTAAAACAATAGGTAAGATCCCATCAGGGGCCTGCCATTTCTTAGCTTAGCTAGGCTTTGTAGCACATCAGCTTTAGTTATACATATATTAGTCATAGATGACGCTGGATTAGTAATAAGAGTAGGTAAGGATGCTCTTCATAGACTACAGTTCAGCATTTAATACAATAATCCTGGACATACTGGTAAGCAAGCTGACAAACCGAGGCTTCCCCTCCTCTACCTGCATATGGATAAAAGAGTTTCTCAATAATAGAGACCAGACGGAGAAGGATCACACCTTCCAATTCAAATAAGCACTTTAAGACTGTTTAAATAATCCCTGGTCACTGCTGTACAATAATATGCATTCATACATACTGCTGCTGTTCTCGTGCACATTCTACTGTAAAACTGCAGCACAGTGAATGAAGGCAGTTAGTGGAACAGCATTCATTATTATTACTGGTTTCAATTTCATCTCATCTCTTATTATATTATATATTGCTGTTTTGACAAATTGGGCTACATATAGTATCCTTCATTGCAATAATGTGTGAGAGTGCCATTCAATCTGTTTTTCATATTTGTTTTCCATTGTGTGCTGGGATACTGTTTGTTTTCCATACTGTTTGTGTGTCACCTGTGTTTAAGAAAGTGACTCAGCTGGAGCAGTGCGCTTAATTTTGTTGGGATTCTTTTCAATGACAATAAAGGCTTTCTTATTCTTCTTTAGAGCTTCAACAATTGACTGCACATGAAAGACAGACAGACAGAGCAGCAACCAATCCAGTGGACGGCAGCTCTTTCCTAGCTGACCATCAGCTTATTAGAAGGGCAGTGGTAATGAAAACTGCGCCCTAAAAGTATACAAATGGATCACAATTCAAAGAAAGTTCTTAAAACAGATCCATATGGTGAAACAATACATTACCGTCCAAATAATAACTTTTAAACCGTGAAAGTGCAATTTAGGAATCAAAATAAAAACAAAACTACCCAAAAACACCAAACAAAAGTTAGAAGGCACAGTGAACTGAAATGGCTAATTTTAAAGTAATATGCCTTATGTCTGTCATACAGATCTATCTGACACCTGTCATGAGTCTATGTTATTACACTGTAATTCATTTTTTTAGACTGTTTGCTAGTGAGAGCTCCTTGTGTGGCCTATGAAGGGTGCCCCTTACCCAATGTACCCAACAGAGACTTACCCCCAGCATTGGTGATCGTGACAGGGACTCCTTGCACTTGTACGCCATTGATGCTGATGGTCTGCACAGCTTGGGCTGCTGAAGAAAGTTGTGCTGCATTTAGTGCAATGAGGCCCCCAGCAGGAGCAATCTTAGGGAAGGTCCGCTCCTTTCGCCCCCCAGTCAGGGACCTCTTGCAGCCCATAGCTGAGGGTAAACTAACTGTACTGGAGCTTGGGGCAGGAGCTGTTGTGGATACGGTCGTCTCCTGCAGCTGTACGGTCTGCCACTCCCCTGAGGGAGTCTTAATTAGCACCTGAAAAACAAACATGACAGAAATTACTACTGATGCAAACTTTTGCGATTAGCTCCTCGACTAGGGGTGTAAACATCAGTGTTAATTTTGCTGAGGAAAACTATCACAAAAATTGTCAACAAAGATTTTTGACAGGAGAGTTAAAAATAGAAAGTAATTTATGATGCCAAAAACTAGGATGAAATGTACTGACAATCGTCAATTAATAAAAATGAGGAGACAAATTTGAAACTGATCCAATAAGTCGTATCTTTAGTTAGTGTTGATTGTAATTGAGCATGTTTGAATAATGTTGATCTGACCAGCTTCAAGTGCATAAACATCGCACTTCTGTATCTAAAGTCAGTCTGTAGACTCGTTATGTCTGTGCTAGACTCGGGCGACTTATCAAGGGGAACGAATAACCTCAGGACGATACAATAGCATAAAATATTAGATACTACCCAAGCCTGGCCTGTGCTACAGTCGGCTTTAGGTAGGAAAAAAACACACTGATATGTGGATAAATTTCACCTTTGCGAAAGGAAAACACTCAGTGCACGCCTTATGAAGCAGCAAAAATGGGGATAAACATCCTAAACTGATTAAATGAATAGAAACAAATAGTTGATCTTTCTTTTACTATGTTTTAAAAGTTCACTGTCATGAACTGAAATAGGTATAGAAATAAACACTTGAGGTTCGAGGTTTTGACAAGGGACACTCAAATTTTCTTTATTCACTGCACTGGTGCTTTTTCTTATAATATGAATGAAAATGCGTCAAATGCAAGTATTTTTTCCAGACTAAATTCAGATTGTATGTTTATTTAATTATAAAAAAATCATATAAAGCCATTTTTTAATTAGTGCAATCTTTTGTGTTGCCACCATAACAGTTTTACAGATGTTTCCTTCAAAAATCTAGAATAGAGGCAAACCAGTGTTTGTGTATGTGTGCACATGGAAAATCAAGTGAAATTTTCTAAGAAATATCAGAATGATGAATTAGACCAGGGGTGCCCAAACAGTCGATCGACTGGTCGATCGTGGAGTAATTCTCAATCGATTGCGAAGTGCGTTGCAAGCGTCCAAAATAAGACTGAAAACAGACTCACACAGTTCATATTTATTCCTTTTTAGGCATGAAAAATTATTTTTTTTTTTTAAAAAAGGCTGTTTACAAAATATTTTTTTGCTCCAGTTCAAAATGTAAAACTTAAAATCTCAAATTATGCCTATTGCACACTCTTGCGTTAACAGGTATAATAAATGGTTTTGTGCCACAGTGCATTGTCACATTTCTCTTCTCTACTCTTGCACTGTACTTATGAATTTGCCACCAGTTTTAGACTAGAGCCTTTCAAACTCATTTCCACTTTTCAATGTTGAAACAGCAGCATCATCCCTGTGAAAGCATAGAAATACCTGAGTAGATTCTGCTGGTGCCACCTGCACACTGGGGCCCGGCTGTCTCTGGGGGACGGGTGGCAGTGTGGCCGAAGCAGCCTGAACCACTTTAAGGGCCTGCGGGGGAATCTGGACAACCTGCTGATCAGGCTTCTGCTGGACCACCTGGACCTGTTGTACAACCGTTGGCTGACCAGAACCTGGACTTTGGACAATCAGGAGATTGTTCCCTGCCTACAATTGGATAGAGAAACAAGCAATAATGAGCAGGGTAAAGGGAAAATTGACTGGTTTTTATCACAGTGGCCTGGATTGAAATGCACATATAGAACATATTTTATCTGTGTCATTACATCATTTTGAGGCCAAGCATCTGGATTGCATAGGTTAATTTTCTGGGTAGTTTTTTTTTTACTTTTTGAAAACCAAATATACAGCTCAAAAACAAACAAAAGTCCTAATGTGGTTCATATCCACAACTTACGGGCTTCCTAAAATGACTGGGAATAATGCCATTGTTTGCCTGATACTGATCCATACATTCACCTTAATTAAACCTTGTATGCATATCTCAGGCTGCTAGCGGCCCGTGATGTCATGTTTATAGGTCTCCTGTGGTCATATGATTCAATGTGGACACTGTTCCCAAGATATGCCACATACTTTTCATCCACAACAATCTACTATGAAACTTAATGCAAAATAGCTTACAATTATTATTATAATTATAGTTATTTTATTTGCCAAAAGACTACTGGGTCACTAGAGAGCCAAACATGGTAAAGTGTCTGTATTTTTACATGCTCTTTTTAAGCGCTTGAACAAAAACACGCTTTCCCCCCATTTTTTCATCTCTGAATCTCTTACTTAGAATATCACTGAAGTAAAGTAAAAACATTAGAAACTTGCACATTTGACCTCTTTCTTAACTCTTATTACCCCCACTCCCACTCTTTATCCTTAAACTGCGAGGTGTAAATGGGACATTATCTAGTGGTAATGTTCATAATGTTTGCCCAATTTAGCTTGTTGTGGATTAAGAATGACAATGGATTTTGATCACTGGACCTTTACAGAGGTAGTTGCTATTCTATATATGTATATAAACAGAAAGGCATATTTGCCTAGTAGTCATTATAAAAAATTATATTATTTGTATCTAATGTTAATACTACTTTCAAACATTTTTTTTCTTAGAATTAATGTTTTAAGATGCTGAATGTGAAAAGAGCAGGCTGGAGGGACAATGATTGAGAAGGAGACAAAATCAGTTTTAAAAGATGTAAGAAGTTCAATTTGTTTAGAAAATGTTATGTTATTCATGTTCAGGGAAGAGGTATTCAATAAAGGTTTGCACAGATACATATAATACATATATAAAGCCACAAATAACTGTAATACTGTTTACAGAACGTTGCATGCACACAAAGTTTCATTCTAAATATTGCCATCGATGTTCTCAAAAATTTTGAGGCTTTTCATCAACATGACCATGTCAACTATGACACTGCAGATTTGGCTGTTTTCTTCATGAATACACTATCAGTAAAACCTCGGATCGCGAGTAACTTGGTTTGGAGTGCTTTGCAAGATGAGCAAAAATTAATACATTTTAACTTGATAAACGAGCAAGGTCTTGCAATACGAGTATTATGTATATGCTTTATCTGCATAGCGTCCTGTAATCACAACTGAGCCGATGGTCTTTCTCTCTCGCTGCGGGATTGTGGGTAATCGTCTCCCATGCTCGGTGTCAATCGGCGTGCCTCACTCGTATAGTCAAAATTTAGTAGAGAAGTACCACCTGAATAAGGGCATAGCAGTGCGAGTGAGGAATCTGTTTAACGACAATACAATGTCCAAATTTCCGCGAAATCGAAAAGGAGGCAAAAGCGGCTGTCAATGGATAGGTTCCTTGTTAAAGTCGCACAAAAAGAAAAAGCTTCCAGTCAGCCAACAGATAGCAGCGATTCCGTTAGTTATAGTGAAAGTCGAGTAGAGATGCGCCCATCTGGTATTCGTATTGGTATCGGCGCCAATCCAGATCCATTTGACAGATCGTGTATCGGCGCCTAGCCATAAAACGTAGCACCATCTCCAAAAATGGTTGCAAAATGCAACTGAATGGCTGCAGTTTGGAACCCTGGTTAAGATAGGATCAGCAAGTTAGAAAGTGTTTGTATACACAGTGCCAGGACAGAAAAGGCAAAACGCGGTTATAAATGAGAATTCAATGGACTAAGCGCAATTGATCTGTTGTGACTTATCATCCAGCCCTAGTACACACAAAATCAGAGATGGCAGTCAACCTAATTGCGTGGCCTTGGACTGCAGGAGAAAACCAGAGGGAAGTTGAGCGACAGTAGGACAACAGGCAGACATACTGCAGAGGCTGAGAAGATTCAAACTAGGGCTGCCACTAGCGACTATTTTATCGATTGGTTAAAAATCGATTGTTTTTTTTTGCTTAATAAATTTGGTTAGTGGAGCACGCCACAAACACAAGCGATAAGGACTGAAGTCACGATGAAGGAACGGACAGGTCAGCAGCCACAACATCTTTTAAAAGAGGAGATACTGTGGTTAAACAAGGTAAAAAGATGTGTTGGTGGTGTGGTGGTACTCTTTGCAGATTAATGTCCAGCATGTTTTTTTCGTAAATACGGTTTTCATTTTTATCTCAGTTCGTGAATTATTTTCTTTTATTTGATGTCCGTTTTCATTTCAGTTTTAGTTTATGATAACGACACTGGTCCCAACAAGTCCAATGCTCACGACCGTACACACAGGCACCATCAATCAACGTAGAATAAGACAAAATTTTTGCCTAAACATGGTCACAAACACTTATTCAGTGGATATTGTAATGTAGCAGGCAGACAACTTTATATCTTTACTAATGAATGTATTTAGCAGCGACAGGGACAAAAGATATTTAAAAGCTCTCCATGCTAATGGCAATTTAATAACCATGAATAGACAACACGGTTGTTTTGCTTATTCTGGTTGTCTAGAATACCATCTTTTTGTTTTGTGATAATAAACTACTCCCACAGTTATGTAGTGATATTAAAAGGAAAACATTTGTTATAATGACGTTTTAGAAATCATAAAGCTAATTTTATTAAAATAAAAAAGACGAGGCATCCATTTAAAATATTGATGTTGATGCATTTTCAGCATCAATGTCAACAACTACGCTGAGTAATCATGACAGCCCTAATTAAAATCTGCAGCTAGTTATTAATATATTATCAATGGGCGACAAGTACACAATAAGGTACTATATGCAGTTTGATACATTTCTCCAAGCTATAGATTTTCTATTGGAGTAGGGGGTTAGAGCACACTATGCAGGGCCTCTACACACACAGCACATTTTAATACTGCTAAACATATGACACTGTGCACCTTGGGAGTTCTCCTTGCAAGCAAGTTGGTTTCATAGCTGTTGTGCAAAAGAAAAATGGAATACAGAAAGATAATAAAGTGCAAGATATCATAACATTAAAATACACTGAAAGTAGCACAAAGGAAATGCAACAGGATGTGGTCAGAACTCAAATTCCATTTCTACCACACTGAATAAAGTATCACTATACAATACTACTCTGAACCATATAATTTAGTTTGGCTGCCAACTATACAAATATTAAACTAAATTTGATTATCTGGACAGCCCTGTCATTTGATCCAGCCATCTAAGCAATTGATGTCCTACACTCAGAAACTTGTACAACATTCTAATATGTTAATGTGTTTTTACCCAAATGCTGAGAGTCCTTGTTGAGATATGTAGATATGAACGTATACTTATTCATTTATTGCACATTCCACTTGTATGACAATTGTCAGAATCTTTCCCCACTAACTAGGGGGTTACTTGTATTCCTTTGTGAACTTGGTCACCAAAACCGTGGAGTGGTTGTGGAGGCTTTAGCATTGGCATTTGATCAATGTGGGCTAACTGATTTCAGCTGAAATTTAATTGGGACGGAAAAATAAGAGCATTCAAGATGCAACAGCTTCACTTCCTTTCATTCAACTGGAGAGGTTTCTGGGGCACTAACATAAAATGTAACTAATTCTAATAAGAATAAAAATCTCTCTCTTTATATTAACAGTCGCTGCTAATCTTCAAATACAGGTACTGTATTCAAATTACAAATTGCTTTGTGGACAAATGAACATGCATTTTTAGAAGAGCCAAGATGGTTCTTAAATTCTGATTGCCACTGACATGTTACTGACTGAGAACAAAGCCCTGGCTGTGAACACAAATACACCAATGATAAGGTCAAATTCAAAAGCACTACAGATTAAGAAAAAAAAAAGGCACTACAATCAGGTGTTTGAAATTGGACTCCGCAATGACAAGCTTGGGAGGTCACAGGTAATGACACCTCTGTGCTGCGTAAACAGCTCAGTTTAAAGATCTCTAATCCAAGCAGCAGCAGTGTTACTGAATGGTTCTGTTCCCTGTTGGAAAGGGGTTGATGTGTAAATAACAGCATCAAGTAGGGAATCTGAAAATCCCCCAACGTATGAAAAACTGAATGAAACCTTGGAATGAAATTAACGTGTCTGCTACATGAGATCCACATTTAAACTGAAGTACTATGTTTCTAAAAACCATCGAGAAACCACTATACACGCAAAAGATGCAGACAGAAGTTGCTGAGGTGAAGCTGCAAAAGCCTTTGCAAGCGCAACAGCATGCATAAAAAAAATAGAAAGCATGCAAATCTGACACAGTGCAGCATCCTCCCTTCAGAACTTTACACTTAACAAACAAGTCATTACAAATGACACATACTGACAAAATTAACAAGCTGGATGGTGTGATGCAAGATACCTGCACCTGGACTAACAATTTACACCCTCTGTGCACTAGTTATAAATGGAGCTCAAACTGAAGTAACTTTCTCTACATACATTAGACATCACTAGTAGAGTACCCACCCACCCAAAAATGATAAAAGAAACACTCCTGAAAACCACGAAAAAAACCAAATGATAGTAAAAGCTAGGCTACATTTTTCACAGTTCCACGCTTAAGGCTGGTTCATACTTCCCACAGACATGCCACCACGAGTGCAGCTGCAATAATTTTCATCACAGGGCCAAGCCTCAGACACTCATACAGTGCCCCATTGTGTGGCATCTAAAATTGAAACAATGTGGATGGTCTGCTCAGTGACACAAATGCGCCTTGCTCGTTCATCGTCCATGGG